AAGGAAGGAAGGAAGGAAGGAAGGAAGGAAGGAAGGAAGGAAGGAAGAGAGAAAGAAAGAAAAGAAAAGAAAAAAAGAGAGAAAGAGAAAGAAAGAAATGTGACAATGTGAAACATCTCATTGAAAAACAATTGACCTGGAAAATAGATCCAGAAGAGATAATTTAAAAATTGTTGGACTACCTGAAAGATGTTCTCAAAAAAAGAGCCTAGACATCATCTTTCAAAAATTATCAAGGAAAATTATACTGATATTCTAGAACCAAAGGGAAAAATAGAAATTGAAAGAATTCACCAATCACCCTACTGAAAGAGATCCCAAAATGAAAACTCCCAGGAATACTATAGCCTAATTCCAAACCTCCCAGATCAAGGAGAAAATATCGTAAGAAACCAGAAACAATTCAAGTATCATGGAGCCACAATCAAGGTAAGACAAATTTAGTAGCTTCTACATTAAAGGACTGGAGGGCTTGGAATATAATATTCTGGAGGGCAAAGGAGCTAGGATTACAATCAAAAATCATGAACCCAGCAAAACTAAGCATAATCCTTCAGGGAAAAATTGGCATTCAATGAAATAGAGGACTTTCAACCATTCTTGATGAAAAGACCAGAGCTGAATAAAAAATTTGACTTTCAAATACAAGACTCAAGAGAGTCATTAAAAGGTCAAACTATTTATATTCCTCCATGGGAAGATGATACTTATAACTTATAAGAACTTACTCATTATTAGGGCAAATAGATTGAGGGAGAACACTTTTGAGGAGGGACAGAATGAAAGGAGAGAGAGAGAGTAGAATAAACTGGGGGTAGGGAAGGGATCAGATAAAGAGAAATAAAGTTAGTAACTGTGAAAAAAATTTTTTGATGCAAGTTTCTCTTATCAAGGCCTCATTTCTTAAACATATAGAGAACTGATTAAAATTTATAAAAGTAAGAGCTATTCTCCAATTGATAAATGATTAAAAGATATGAACTGTTTTCAGATGAAGTAACCATATAGCCATATGAAAATATGCTCTAACTCACTATTGATTGGAGAAATGCAAATTAAAACAATTCTGAGGTACTGCATCATACCTAATTGATTGACTAATGGGACAGATAAGGAAAATGAAAAATGGTGGAGAAAGTGTCGGGGGGAAATAGAGCATTAATGCACTGTTAGTGGAGTTGGGAACTGATTCAACCATTCTGTAGAGCAATTTGAAAGTATACCCAAAGGGCTATAAAACCATCCATACCCTTTGACGTAGAAATATCACTACTAGGTCTGTATCCCAAAAGAGATAAAAAAGGAAAAGGACCTATATGTACAAAGATATTTGCAGCAGCTCTTTTTATGGTAGCAAAGAATTGGAAATTGAGAGGGATGCCTATCAATTGGGGAATAGCCGAACAAGTTGTGATTTGTGATTGTGGTGGAATACTGTTGTGCTATGGGAAATGATGAACAGGATGATCTCAGAAAAGCCTGAAGAGACTTGCATGAGATGACACAAAGTGAAATGTACTGTGTACAAAGTAACAGCAGTATTGTAAGATGATCAGCTGTAAATGACTTAGCTATTCTCAGCAATACAGTGATCCAAGACAACTCTGAAGGACTTATGATAAAAAATGTTATCCATCCCCAA